TTTTCTGATTTTTAATGGAACATACATACAATTGTTGTTTAAGCTTCTAACTAACCTTCCATGTGTACTGAAGGTTAGTTTTTCACTTGTATCTAATCTACAATAATTTTACAATATCTATAAGCTGTTGGATATAGTAGATTCAGTTAACATTTAGGACATGCAGGAGGTTGCAAGTTGAACTATTTATTATGCTAACTGGTGCCTATTAAAGCTTGTTCAGGAATACAACTTGAAATAAAAAATGACTTAAATATAATGACCAGTTTAAAATCGTTTGATGTAAATCAATTCACCCTGGAGCTAAATATAAAGTTGCGGACTGCAAAAGATGATATAGCCTACTTCCTATTTGTGCTTTGTGAGTAAACCATCAAAACAAACAAACAAAGAACTGAGCAATCAATGCTATGGTAGATCAGAAATCACGATTTTTGGAGGGGGTGGAAGGTATGACTGGCTTCCTTCTACATAATGTGTCAAATGGTTAGCCAACCAATTAAATTTCTGCTCACATAGGAACATATGCATGGATTAAATTGATCTGATTTTTTTTCTAACTCTGAAGAAAATTATAAGAAACAGTGATTTAAAAATTCAAACAAAGGTTTCTCAGGTTATGATTTGAGTAATCAATAATGTAATAGTAAGCAAACACTTTTTAAAAATTATACAGGTAGTCCTTGTTTAATGACCATTTGAAGTTACAACGGCATGAAAGTGACTTACGACTCGTGGCCAAAGTTATGATTGTCACAGTGCCTCCACAGTCACATGATTGCGACCTGGGCACTTGGTAACCAGCTCGCACTTACATTTGCAGCATCCCGGGGTCACACGAACGCTATTTGCGACCTTCCCAGCCAGCTACTGGCAAGCAAAATCAATGGGGAACCACATGATTCACTTAACGATCACGTGATTCACTTAATGACCATGATGATTCGCTTAACAGCTGCTGCAAAAAGGTCGTGATATCAGGTCTAGTCACATGATGATTCACTTAATGATCACATAGCTTAGCGACCTAAATTCTGGTCCCAATTGTGGTCATTAAGCGAGGACTACTTGTATTGTATGTGTACATGTACACATTCATGTACAATAAGGTTATATTCATAGAAGGATGAAGATATACCTACAATGTAAAGATATTTTGTACTTAGATAATGATTGATAATGATCATAGAATATATATCTATGATACAAATAAGCATGAAACAAGGTCAGCACCAGATGAGCCATCTGTAAGTTTTCAAATTTAAAGCTTGTGATATTAAAAACTATCAATAGATTAAAACAAATCATTAGGGAACCTATTGTATGATAGCAGATATGAGAGAAATAGCAAAGCATATTCTAAAAGGCAGTCAGTTTTTCAAAAATACAAAGGTAGACACAAGTTTAATAACTCCTTTGCTAATAAGTAGGCAGAATTACTGGTGATCCAAATAAAACTGCTTCAGGTCAATCAAGTGTTGATAATTGGATGCTTTTAAAGTAAACAGAATAAAAATGTACTAATAGTGGATAGTATTAAGATGAATGGCATTGCACTAATGTTTTATTTTGATAAACATAACACATTATGTTAATACCACAGCAGCTGCCTAACTGCTATTGGAAGAGATGATGACTCGTCTTGTTTAGGGGGATGGAATCTGTGACATACTAAAGTCAGTTTAGCTTTGGTGGGGAGGGTGCTACAATATATTCCTGGAACATGGTAATAGTTCTACTGATATGCTTATTATTCAATAAGATGGATCTGCTTCACTCAACTCCTGTAAGATGCCATTTCAGCAACAGCACTATGTAATTTCTATATTCATTAATCCTAGCAATAAATATCTCTAGAATTATTACTTACAAATATACAGTACTTACATCTTTTGCCATGTTACCAAGTCCAAAACACAATGTCTACTTCTGATCACCACAGGAGGAACAGAAACAGTTGAACTATATTCTGAAAAAGAAAAGGAAGAATATAACTAAGTGTAAACTCACACACATTTAATATTGAATACCAACAGTGCTCAGATATTGCTACAGTCATCCAGCTTGGATTTAAAATAAGTAAGATTTGCAAAAGCTCTCCCTCCCATATGGGGCAGCTCAGTCCTCAAGGAATTTAGTTTCTTTCTTCTCAAAAAACAGCAAAAAAACAATCTAAACCAAGAAATATAAGGGGTGGGGTGAGCAAGTTAAGGTCCTATCCAACCGGGCATTGAGTTGCTGAGAATAATTATGCCTCATAAACAAAGATACGCACAACCTAAGCATGTAACGCCTGCCCCATTCACTCCATTACAACTGCTAGGCCTCGGGGCCCAACCCCCAATGCACTCTTTCCCAATCCTAAACAAAACGCACGCCGCTTCCTCTGTGCAAATAGCCAAGCAGGCCCAGGCCATTTATGTAATGTTTCCACGAGGAGGGGGAGGGGGGAGCGGGTCCTCAGTCCCGGTGAAAATCAAGCAAGCAGCAGCAGCATCTGTGCTTCAGAGAACAAGTCTCGCCAGCCCCCGCCTCCTGCACCTTCCCGCCCCTCTCCAGGGCCTCAGAAGCCCGGCCGGAGCCCTGGAAGTCTAGCCCCGCCGCACAACTGGCTCTGGAGGGAGAGGGACGCGGGCCACCCAGGCATCGCTCTCCCCCCGTCCCCGTGTCACCGGTCAGAGGAGAGGAGGGGAGGGCGGGCGGTCTGAACAGGGCGAAGGGGAAGGAGGAAGAGGGTCTCTTCCTCACATTAAATCGTCCCGCCTAAACGCTCCGCAACAGAAGCAGGAGCAGCGGCGATGCCCGGCTGCCGCCTCCCCCGCCACCTGTCCTCGCTCCCGGCCCCCCCTCGCTGCGGGGCCCTCGGTACCTGAAGCGCGGGCGAGGAAAAGCCGAGAGCCAACTCCATCCCCCACCACGCACTCCCGAGCAGTTCCCCCACCCACAGCGCCAGCGCCGCCGCTCTCGCAGGAGATGCCAACTGCACATGTGCAATGCGCGGCCCTCCTAAAACCCCCGGGGGGGGGGGGGGCCCAGCAGGCGCCCTCGCCGGCAGGAGCTGCGTTTGGAGGGGTACTTCTCCTTCACCCACCCCCCCGACCACTGCACCATTTGCGAGGTGAAAACGCAAACTATCCCGCAATAATGGCGAAGCGGGAGAAACGCAACCTTTTTTAAATCACCATTTCTCCCCGCAGCGTTGCCACCGCTACTCCCCAGTCCGGCTCCTTTGGGGGCGCGGTGGCGGGAGGTGTTCCTGACTCAAGGGCCCGGTGGGGGTGAGGGTGGGCGGCCGCCCGGGCTCTGCACGCAGCCGCAAGTCCCTCTCAACTGCCTGCAGCCCTTCAGGGTGCAGCCTCTGCACGTTGGCTTGGGAGCAGTGATCCTAGGTGACTTTTGCACGCCAAATCCGCGTGCAAGAATCGAGGGAGGGATCGGCTGCCTAAACCTCGATGCGCCGCCTTCGGAGTAAATTCTCCTTAAAACCAGTCGGCCTTATTTCCATCCCGCTTGGCTCCAGTTAGAATCCGGAGTTCCCATTCTATGCAGACTTCCTTGGAAGTAAGCCTGGCTGGGCGGTGGGGGGCTCGCCTTCCGCTAAGCGTGAACAGAGTGCGGCGGCAGACCTCGACTTCGCCTTTCTCCAGAGCGCCATCATCCCCTGCCCTGCCAAGTCGCGCTCTCCTTCCTGCCCCCCAGGCTCCGCGGAGCCCGGCGGGCTGTCGTCCTTGACGCCCCGTAGCTGCCCCTCACACCTGTTCACGCTTCCTGCACAGAAGGCAGCCAAGGACGAACGAGGAGCGTCGCTGCCCCCGCTCACTCTCCCGTCGCGATCCCGCAAAGACGAGTTTCTTGGCGGTTGGCAGGAAGAAGGGAGGAAAAAATTGAAACTTACACTTTCGTGCGTCCCTCCGGCGTGACGCTGCGCGCTGGAGCTGACGTCACGGAGCGAAACGTGCCCCACATAGACAAACGCGGGGAGCTCGTTACGCCCTCCCCCGCCTCCTCACGCCAGACGTTTGTTTAGCCAGCCTGCCGGGGCGGCGCAGAAAAAGACGCGCGCATGCGTCAGGTTTTCGCGCCTTCGGGATTCCAACACGCCTTTTTGCTCCGGAGGCTGAACGCGCTAGCGGTTGCTGTTGGCTTCGGAATCCGCCAGCTGGCCCCCACCCCGTCAGAAGCCCCGCCCTCGCGAGATAGAAGGCTCCGTCGGGAGAAGGGCTGCCCCTCCCACGGGGGGGGGTATGAATAATCAGTGCCGCTGCAGTTTTAAGCGGTGCGTGATGTTTTCCCAGGCTGCCCTCTTTTACTGCTTAGACGGGAGCGGAGCGGCTGTAGCCGACTGCAAGAGCAGCTTATTGGTGCGTCCTGCAATTTGCACATGCTCAAGAGCCAAGAAGTATGTGTCGAAGTGCAGCTAAACAAGCTTTTTGCATTGAATATAATGATTGCATATTATTGTATTGAATATATTATTGTATTGAACATCGTAATAGCGAGATGGAAGACGAGGCCTTCAGAGATGCGTTATCCGTCATTTTCAAGAAGCAATCATTATCTTTGTGGATGAGCTGATTCCAGTGTAGGAAGATGCACAAAACCATTTAGGGAGGGGAAAGATTATATTAATGCAGGCGGGAGACCATACATGTACCAGAGATGGAAGTCCAAGGGTTCAGCTAGCCTATATGTAGGTCTTTCTCTGCTCACTTAAAATATTGTGGAGTCTTTGGGGTTCTCTGAGCTTGGTTGTTTTCTTGCAGATGTTTCATTACCTGGCTAGGTGGTAACTTCCGTTCTAGAAGGGAGTGGGGTTTGCTCTCTGTTTATATACAGTAGCTTGCCCTGTCAGTGTTGGTGGGTTAGGGTTAGGGGCCCAACATACCTCTCCGACCAATTGCATCATTACCAGGAACTCCAGCATACAACATAGTGAAAGAACTCACAAAAGAGCTTGGACATCTCACAGAGGGGAGCAAATATTCTATCAACTCCCCACTAGAAAAATCTCTAGAAAATCAAAGACCTAAAAATAGATGAAGATGAGACTATGGTTTCATTTGATGTCACAGCACTCTTTACATCCGTAGACCCAGAACTGGCAAAAGAATCCATGGCAGCAGTACTACACAACACACCAACCTAACCAGATACACCCAGATCGAAATACCCAGAATCATGGCCCTCATCAACCTCTGCCTCACTACCTATTTTCAGTTTGAGGGACAAATATACCAACAAATCAGAGGCACACCCACGGGATCACCACTCTCAGGACTCATAGCAGAGACCATAACGCAGCGTCTAGAAACTACAGCACTTCCACGCAGACAACCAAAAGTATGGATCCAGTATGTAGATGACACCTTTGCCATAATAAAAAAGGAACTAGAGAGGACACATGATAACATCAATATCTTCAAAGGAATAAAATTCACAAGGGAAGAAGAAAACAGCAATACACTACCCTTCCTGGATATCCACATCAGCAGAGGAAATGACAGCAAATTAGAAACACAAG